CTGGCACAGAACGCTCCAACTGGAGATAGTAGCAGTTCTCCAGTCCAGGTCTGGATTGTGCTGCTGTAACCAGGGGGAACCCAACACTACAGGGGCCATGGGCGAAGAGATGACGTAGAGCTGGATGCTCTCTCGATGGTTCCCGGAGGTGATCAGTGGCAGGGAAGTCGTGCGGTGAGTGGCCCTGGCAAATAATCCGCCATTAAAAGCACAAATTATGCGCGGGGTCTCTAGCAGCTCTAGCGGGGCATTTTTCTGTCTTGCAAAATCACAGTCAATAATGTTGTCAGAAGCCCCTGAATCAATAAAAACATGTAAAGAAAAAACTGGAGAGTCTATGTGTAGGTTCGCGGGTAAAGTAAGACCGGGGGGTGGAGAAGAGGGAGCAGTGACGAGAGGAGTACTCACAGGGAGAGCCGGAGATGATCCGGCACTGGCAGACGCCATATTGTCCAACCCGGAGGAAAAGCCTTGGACCTGGGAGGAGAGGGTCTGGAGGTAGACCCTTATCCCGTGTAACAGCTGGTCGTGCTTTCCAAGCAAGGTTTCTTGGGCATTAAGAGCCTCCTCAACGGTGCAGGGGTTCGTTGGGTCCATGTTTTTTGGCCGGAGGATTTTGTGACGGTTCGTGCTCAGTGACAGTGCGGGTGGACCCAAACGAAAAGGGAGACGGGGAGAAGGATTAAAGGAAACAGGATTTATTTAGGGAAGGTGGTGGAGTGATGGGCACCAGGAGGCAAAAACATAGTCCGGTGAAGGGGAGCCGGTCGTGGGGGGTGCCGAGGGTGGTGCGAGGAGGTCCGGCGCTCGTGCGTGCCTTTGTCTGTGGAGGTTTTCCAGGTGTAGAGAGGGAGCCGTGAAGAGGGAAACCAGGGTGGTGCGCAGGGGTCCGGTGCTCAGGAGTCGGTGCTCGTGGGTGGTGCTCTCGTGAGGGTTCTCTCGGTGATGGTGTCCGTGGTCGTGAATTCCCGTGTGTGCAAAACGCTGGAGTGCCTGGAGGAGTGCTGAGTGCAGGAGCCGAGGAGGAACACTGGAAGCAGGCAGAGAAAACACATACAATCAACTCGAGACTAGAGAACAACAAAAGTGCTAGAAATGCTCAGCGAGTGGTAGCGGCTAGCGGGGTGACTGTACCACGAGGTAGGTATCACAATCCTCTGGCGTCGGTCTTCTGTGAGACGCCAGTATTGAAGCAGGGCACGGCTGATGAGCCACAGCTGCCAGCGTGCGCTTGTCTCTCCTGATAGGCTCCGCCCAGCCTGCAGTGAACAGAGGCACACCCACCAAAACACAAAGACAGACAAAATCCCAAAAACACAGTCTATGACCCTCACAGATTTAATGTTAGATAGTGAGAAAAAAAGGCTTTGTGTCTTTTTATACAGTGTATGTAAACTTCTGGTTTTAACTGTATGTCTAATAACATTCTCAGTAATTATTTAATCATAATCCATGAAATGATAATCTGTTGTGATAGAAGGACATAGAAGACATGTAGAATGGAGCATCAGTACAGTTCTTGAGCTCACTTTCAACATAAAAATGTTTTCTTATCTTGTTCAAAGCCTTGTTCAGCCAAATGATGGCAACAGTTTGAGCTGCAACAGTACGGTCTTTGATTCATTGTTGTTCTGCTTCCTATTTTATTTTAAAAACATCCCTGTCCTTGTGTGTCTCTAGTTGAGATAGACATTGTTGTTAAGCCAGCACAGTTATAATAAGTGAAAGAAAGAGGCTATGACTCAGTCCAAGACTCAAAGACTTCATTACATGTATGAGACTGGACTATGGACTGTGGATGATCAGTAAAACTGATCTGCTATGGATATCTGCCAACACAAGCACACATAGAAGAAAGAAAGGGTTAAAAAAAAAAAAAACTCTCTGTGAGTGAACCCGGGTCGCTGCTTGCTGATGGTGGAAATACTGAAGCAGTGGTAAGTGTTGTGGAACACTTTAAGATAATGAATTCAGAGATGCTCCAGATGCTTTTGCTTACTGAAATAAAGGGAAAATAAGAGAATAGACTGATATGAGTCCAAAATGGAAACATTGAAAAAATTCCTATTGGAAGCGAACTTCTGGAAAATTTCTCCATTAAATCCTCAGATGCTTGTTGAAACTTATGACAGTGTTTCCAATCAACAGTCCCAGGAACCCAAATGCTCCAAACAGACAAAACAACCAGCAGTATCTTCATCAATATATTCAGCTAACCTGCCATGGAGAGACCTGCACTACAAACACATGTCTGCAAAGAGAGAGAGAATAAAAAGAGAAACATGCTGGGGAAATAGAAAGACTTAATGCAATGAAAACATGAAAGAACTAGATGTTGCATCTACCTTAAAGCTTATTGTATCACAGCTGCCATGTATATAAGGTAGAGGAAAACTGAAGAACCACAGCACGAGAGATTATTTAGCTAAACCAACAAAGGGCAAAATTCTGTTTTCTCTCTCTAGAGTTTTCTGTGGGGTCCCCCAGACTCCAAAGGAAAAACTAGACAGGAAGGTCAGAGGAACAGTAAAACTGGAGGTCAAACAAGCTGCCATTATCTGTAACGGTTACATTTGCAGTAAGGACGTACATTGGTGAGATGAAGGTTTAAGGTTCAACCATGATTGTCTAATATGGGTTGTCCAACCAAGACACACATGAGCAAAACTTGTAAAAGAAGAATGAAATGCAAATACTGCCAAGGAAGCACCTCGGCATTCTGCACACTGAGAAACCTGCAGAAAATGAATTAAATGATAAAGCGGTGCTATAATGAAGATCGCAGAGTGAACCTGTAAACAGCATCCAAAGGCTGCAAAATGAAATTCTGATGTGACCCAGTGCTGCAAATAATGGGTCAAATGGGAAATGTGGGAAATAACAAGTGGATGGAAACAACTTTATTGAATAGAGCTCAGCAGGTCGTGGATGTTGAACTGGTATGTGTAGTCCCAAATAAATGTGTCTTAAGATGGTGGGAAATGGATCACTTAACTCACCTTTGATTGCAAACAAGCACACATTCTCCTCACAAAGACACAAGAACCATAGGTGAAGCAAGTAATCAACAACCTGAAGACTTGGCTGCTAATATCTGCAATGGTAAGTGTTGCATTTACAGTAAAATGTTTGTCAGATGAAGTTTAAACAACAGACCCAGACATTATTGATTAAAAGATGCATCACTTCTCATGTGATTATTGATTAAAAGTGTCTTTAAGCCAGAGGTGAGACTGAACTGCTATTTTGTCAGAGGAAGTGAGTAACTGACTACTTTCAATTTTTTTATTACTAATATCTGTGGATAGACACAAACAAACTGCTAATCTGATGAAGTCACTTTTATTTTAAGGATTAATATCTTATTGATTTAATGAAATATTTCACAGGCAGTTTCTTTTGTAAGTTTAAGGTACTTCAAATCTTTCACATTCACTATCAGTACAATACATACTGTAAATAGCCCTCCCACACACACACATCCTGCGTAAATACAGTCAACTGTATATTGTATGGCCATGCATTATGTCTTTTTAACTCATGTTCACGATGAGGCCGATGTAGATGTCCCTCTTCCTCCTCCTCCTCCTCCTCCTCCTCTTCTTCTGCTCTTTGGAAACTCGCAGACGAAAAACATTGAGGCTTCACACTCCACGTGACCCCACGTTCCAGTGCTGAGCAGCTCCACACAGCTGGAGTTGGTGGCTGGAGACGATCTGGTGTGTAGCTCCTCGTCTTTACTCCAAGCTGCAAACCCCTGCAGAGGGCTGGAGTCTGCATAAACATAAGCAGCTGTTCCATCCTGACGACAAGAACACAGCAGAGAAGTATTTTATTGTGGATCACACGGTGGCCCTGTCCTAAACCATACCCTGCTTTATCGGCTGTTTTACTCTAAATGGGATCAGGATATACTAAATGAGCATCATGCTGTATTAAAGAAGACTACTTATTGAGTCTATAAACCCATAATGAAAATGTTTACTGAGGTAACAAATCAAGGGAGAATAAGAGTCATTTTCCTACAGACTTCTATACAATTGGATCCAGAGGAGTCGCCCCCTGCTGGCCGTTTGAAAAGTGATTCTTAAACTTGTGTTATTTCTCTTCATTCACCCATGCCACTGTTTCCATGTTGCTATGGGTTTTGCTGCTTGTTGCAAACTGACATTTCTCTGATAACTCTCTTACCGTGTCCTTGCTTTGAGCCTGTACTCCGATGTAAACTCCCGTCAGTCCTGTCTGACTGACATATTCTGCCATGAGACGGTTGGTGTTGCTGGTTTTGGGCATGGCCAGTGTTCCTCCTCTCAGCTTGCAGTTCATTGAAGCCTCTCTGAACCTCTTGGGCTCCTTCACCAGGAGATAATATCTCTCTTCCGTCTCCCTCAGGCCCAACACGACTGCACCGGACAGAGTTAAGGGTTAATCCAGAGTAATTTTAAAGACACATTTCCCAGGATAGAGTCAAGATTCAAGAACTTTATTGTCATTTGTACACACACACACACACGCAGTTCGATACGGAGGAATTTTTTTGTGCAGGGCTGAAAGAGCTGGGGATAATTTATTGTATTTTTCCTCACAGAGAACAACAAATTGGAGGTGAACAGAAATAAGGAGATTTTTTTGTACTATATAGAAACTTGCAGTTTAAAGAGCATGAAAAGATGAATGTATGTCAAGTAAGTATTAACTGAACAAAGATAATTTAGTGTCAAACATGGCTCATAAACATACACTTTTAAAATTACAGATTCAAAGATGTTTTTTTTTTGTATTAGATTACAATAAAACATGGAAAGATAAAATGGCAAATCTTCTTGAATGATAGCAGGAACCCTACATTTGCAAATCAGTTGTGGCAAGTGTTTTTAGGACATCTGCTTCACCTGCTACCACTAACTGGTCACTGTGTTAAAAGACACCACTGAGGACTCACCGTTCTTCACAAACTTGACAGCGTCCCTCAGCTTGCCCACATTGACATCCAGCTGTCCAACCACCTTCCTGTACCTGCCGCAGTCACACGTTGCGCCTGAAGGATACATTTGAATTTCACATATAACACCTTTAGGAACAGAGCAGCGTCTTGATGCTGCAGAGTTACTCACCTGGTTTCCCTTTTAAACCAGAGGGTCCATCCACACCTTTATCGCCTTTGTCACCTACAGAGGAACAAAAAAATCACAGACAGACTTATTTTTTAAATTCATTCAATATAACCTCACTAAAAACCTAAATTATTTAAAATGTACCTGTGACTCATTATCTACCGATAACTCAAACTATTGGCAGTTTCTCGATATTGGGATGTAGTTACAAACCTTCACCACCAGGTGGCGGTGTCATACATTTTAAATTAAATATGGCTGCTAAGTAGTATAGAGTCACTGAGGTCAAAGTTTAACCTATTTGATGACAGATTAAACGGTTTCAATCAGACCCTGACATGACATAATAAACATGTATCTTTTGATTTAGGGAGGCAGTTAAATTGTATAATTTGTGTGTAAATGTTCTGCAAAACATGTCCACTTCGACTTTGTCTTCTTTGTGGAAATTAACCGAACTGGCAGTTGCAAATTTTGGGGAAGTTGACTGTAGTACAAACATCACAGTGGCCTTTTTTTTTTTTGCATGAGGAAGAGCCAGAACAGTGACACACTGTACACTCTGACCAGACTTTTTACCAGCAGCGACAACATTGCTGTTACTTATTCACGTTGTGAGTCTGTGATCATAGCAAAATGTGGTTCTGTAGCAGGAACTACTATAAAGGTAGTTTTGACTACATTTGCAGCAGTTTGTCTGCACGTGTGTCTGTGGACGGATTTTGTCAACACCAAAGCGTCGCAGCTGTGCAAGATGCAGTGACAAAACTTGACATTTGTGTGGTTGACAATGAAATGAAGGCCGAGCTGGGCGTGGTCGGAGAACCCACTGGTGTGATTTTATCAGAAGATGGTCTCTAGTCTTGTGATATGAATGGAATATAAAGTTAAAACTTGAGTTTCAAGGCAAAAATGTGAAAAGCTCAGTGAATGAATATGATAAAATGCATTGAGATGTGCTGTCCTTTGGGGGCAAACAGCACAGTTCATCATAAAGTTTTATTGTTTGTTGCTTTGGGTACTTGTTGTTTTGCCCAAATAAAACATGAGCTCTGTAGATAGTCTGATAATAAGCAGATATATCTTATCTTAAATGAACACCAGTGTAGCTAATGCAGAGGTGGAAATTAAACCTTTTACGAGTGAGCCTCAGTGAGAGTAACTGAATTGTAGTTCATAATTGTGTTAAAGCTGGCATTGCTCTGAAAAAGGTTTTTTTTCCAGGTGTTTTATGAGCTGCAGGCTCTCAGGATCAAGGAAAATCCAATGCTGTGACCTCACTGCTTCGCCTGAGATGGCTGATGCTCAGCCACTTTCCTGTAAACATATTAAACATAATGAACACCGAGGAAAGTGAATATCTCGGAAGGCAGGGGAACATGACTGCTCATAAAAATACAAGTAAAGATAGAAATTGTTTCAGCCACTCCGGGCAAAGCAACGGCATGACATCATGTTGTAGGATTATGTTTTCTTCTATCTTTGGATGTGATAATCTAAAACATAAAAGAAACAGAAAGAAATATAGACCTTTCAAAGAAACTGTCTCATTAGCTTAAACCACCTAATGAGCAGCTTCAAAGCAGCTTTCTCTTTTTGTTTGAGTCTTGGGACTAATTAAATGGATTGATTTGTGTAGAGATGTCTATTCTACTTAATTTTTTCAGTCTATTATTATCTCAGGAGGGTTCAGGAGACTGTATTTCTTCTTTAAAGCAAATTAAACGCCACATTCAGTAGAAACCTCACAGCTATATTCATAAAAAGAACTTGTAATGTCACTGGAACAAATCTAAATTTAAACACTTGATGCTTATGAAGTTCCAATAAAAGAAAGTCAATCTGCCAAGATTCCAAGACTCTGAGGATCAGTGCTCCTCTTAATGCACTATCATATTTCATTACCGAAAATGAAGGATTTTAGGCTTTTAGCATAATGATAATTAAATAAAGGCCCATGTTTGCACTCCAGGATTAACCTAATCTCAGTATAAAATGACTTTCCTTTGTTCTACCTTTGTCTCCAGAAGGCCCCATCTTCCCTGTGTGGCCAACTTCCCCTTTAAGCCCTGATTCTCCTTGAACTCCTGTGGAGAGGAAAGAAAAAAAAAAAGAGGGAGAGATGGAGGAATGAATGGAGAGGATTTGAGATACTTGAAACATGGCAAAGAATTCTCATGATCTCATTTTGATTATCATCCAATCCAGCACAAAATGTACCAGGAATAGTTACGCATACTGTCGAAACATCACATCACATCTGCAGCAAAGAGGGTAGAGAGGGTCAAAACCATGGCCTGAAAGGTTCCTTACTGTTAAATACACATTTGTCTTACGATTGTAACTGTTTTTCATGACTGCTTCCATCACTTTCTCTTTGTTTTTTTCATTCTTTTATTCTTGTTAAGCCTAATTGATACAGTTGCTTTCCATGCTGTCTCATCTTTTACACATTATCTCTGCAAGTACTGGGGCTTTGCATAATTTTAGTATTTTCATTCCAGGTAAATCCTGACTGATCTCAGACACTTCAGTACTTGGTGTTGAGAGATTGTTTGCAGAATGAAGCTGGTCTATGAGAAAACTGATGTAATTGAATAAATGCATGCACATATAATCACTCTAAATGTGACTGTGATTATTTATCATTACCTCAGATATTTGATCCCATTATTTTCAGCTCAGCGACAGGCCTCGTCTGTAATCTGATTACTACTTACTGTGGCTTTACAAGAACTGAGATACTGAGATGGTGCACAATTTTGGAGGCCACAGTGTAAGCGTAGAGGAGATTGTGTACATCTGTATATGTGTGTTTGTGGGAAAACCAGCAAGCAGACGGAGGCTTCCTGCCAGCCCTCCAATGAGCGTTTCCTCAGGAAACTATTCAAGTGGAAATTGATGGCGTTTGAAACACTAAGTGACGCACTGGAGAAGCCTTTTGCTATTAGAGGGATTTGACACACACACACCCACACACACACACATACACACACGGAGACATTCAATACTATTTCACGTTTCCCCACTTTCCTCCTGTTGATTTTCTACTCGGTGATTTGTGAGAAGTGCTGGCAGAAGGTGTGAGGTCTTATGGATCGTGTGAGGTCCGTGGAGCTCTGCCTTTGGGAAATTTCACTATAATCTGTACGCAATTTTCGCGGAATTTTCTACGCGATTGCCTGAGACGCACCCTCACAAAGTAAATATTTTGACAATACTGACCTGAGAACTGATTGAGAGAAGTCATTAGAGGTGTTTGTTCTTTGCTATATAAAGAAATTCAATCTGTTGTTCTCCTGTTATTCCTTTCTGCGTCTGTAATCTTGTTTTGGCTAATGCTCGCCAGTTAAACCGTCCAGATAACAGTCCCTCCTATCACTGCACTCACTCTTTACAATGGCCAACCCCTCCAACTGGTCTAACGTCTGGATTCTCCAGCTGCTGGTGGAGAATGTAGCTGAAGGCCGCATTTCTCGCTGGATTCATGGAGCCTGAGACACATTTTAAACAACCTCAAGCTACGACTAAAACTCTCAGACTTGATCTACAGGTACTCACGGCTTAATATGACAAGAAAAGAACTTTAAATGCTGCTATTGTTTGCTCAGTCCTCAAGGGCAAATATGAATATTTTTGCTTTTTAGAGCTCAGTGGATGAAGGAAAAGGAGCAGGGTCACATGGAGCAAAGGCCTTGAGCTACATTTTCCGTTTTGTTCTGCAAATACAGGTTCCACAAACAATTAGGCTTATTAAATGACACCTACTCTTACTCTTGTCTTTCCACCTCTGGAGCACATTTGATTAAAGCCCAATTAAAAAATACACAAAATGCATCAGCACAACAGTTGGTTGACGTTAATAAGCTCGGAGCAACAAACAGGTTTTGTTGCCCACCAGAGCATTCACAGTCATGGATTCCCTTTTAACATTCCAAAATTAAGCAACTGTTTCCTGTAAAAGTGCCTAAATGAAGACGGGGAATACATGCGTCATCTGTTGAGCTGCTGACATGCTGCAGTTACAAAGTCATCACAGAAACCTGCATTCATGCCTGCAGTCAGCATACACAGAGAGAAACCATAATGACTGGGTCTGCTATACTGTTGAATAATATCCGCAAAGTTGAAGAGTTGAAAAGCGAATGCATACCTTCTCACAGCCCTGGCACTCAGACTGACAACAGCAGTGTGTTGTCGAGTGCGTGCATGTGCGTACGTGCGACGGCCTCGGTGTGAAGTTACTGAATAAAACAAACATCTGAGGAGAACACGAGCCAGGGTTTCTTTACAGCGTGTGTGCGAATGCAATTCCGTGTCTGTGGACGTGAACATGTACGACTCGTGTGTTTCCTTGAGTGCAAACAACACGATGCATGCGTGTGCAGACATATTATATGGCTGGTTGGCTGCAGAGCTCGTCTAGCAGCGCAGTTGAAAACATGTGGTGAAGCGGGACGCCCCTGCTTTCCTCAGCAGCAATTAACAGCTCTGTTTCCGTCTGTCTGTCTGTCTGTCTGTCCAATGGCACAGCAGTGAACTGACACGGCAGACCAAAGCGAGCTGCCGAGCCGGGAAACACAAAAGCCGCCAACAGGGTGAAGTGACACTGCCTCAGAAACTAAGAACAAACTGTTTGTTCAGGCTGCACCAGCAATGAAAATAATATTTTTGAGTCACAGAGATGAAGTCAGACTTTATCTTTTTGTGTGAATAGAAAGCAGAGCAGCCAAACCACTTTTTTTTTTTCCTTGTTTTTTTACCCTTCAATTCTCTTGCTGCTTGTTGGAAACTTGCAAACGAAGAAGCACCAGATTTTTTTCATTTATGCATGTAGCTTTCTTTTCCTATAATCAAATTAAATGTATTTTAAATTGAAAAGTGACTTTACAGGAGCTCAATTGTAGTGTGAAAAGTTGGCTAAAAACAAAACTGGAAGAAAGTGCCGGTGAGATTATTTAGCTTTTAAGCGAAATCATCTTTTTTTCAAGAATTTTCAAGTGTGAAGGCGTTTCGTTTCTTGGGTAGCAGTGTTTTCTTCTAAGGAAATCTTATCCTGGGCTGCTTTCGTGGTAATTTTATTACCTTGACGTTTAAGATCTTATCTTGGTCATTATTAGAATTAGTCATGCAAGATTTTTTTTCTTCCTCAGAACAGTCTACAACATTCAGACCTTGCACCATTTAATACGATAATACTTGCAGATTTTTCACATTTACTTTCATTTCAAGGAAAAAAAGAACTTCCTATTATGAAATTGTGATATTGTTTTTTACATACACCTGACTATACTGTTGGCAGCAGAGGGCTGGTATATTAACCAAAGTGTTCACAAACAGTAACACATTTGCAGATTTGGCAAACCAGGCAAATATGTCTGAGAAAGCAAGGCTTTAGGGAGGTGGAAAACCTGATAGGCTGCTATATTTAGAGAGTATTTGGGAAAATTGCAGTGTTATGACTAAAAAATAATACTTCTGTTGCCTCGTGCTAATAGTCTGACTTCATTCTAATCAGCTGAACTTTAAACAACCACCTACACCTGCTCGCTGATTGTAGTTTTGGTTCAGCGGTTCTTCCATGCAAGTCATCCAGCCGGTTTGAATACCTCAACTAATCGATTTAAAGCTTTGCCGCATTTCTGTTATTTATATTTTATTCTTTTGTCCGTTGCGAATATGATAACGTTACGGGACTGAAATGTTGGATCAGTGTGTGCTAACAGGCTGGGATGTGTCTAATCCCTGCTGGCTGACGCCGCTGTCTGCTTCTGTGTGTCTGTGCTTGATTGCAGTGGATTCAGGTGAGCTGCGGTTGGATCAGCGCCTCAGCAGCTGCACCGCATCAGAACCATCAAGCTTGGTTCAAGAAAAAACTTCCCGCACTGCCATCTCCGCTCCGCCAGAGTCTGTGCAAGTAATTCACGGATGATTAGCCCCTGTTCCCAGACATCTTCCCCCCTCTTTGGTTCAGCCTCAGGTTGTCAGCTACCAGCCCGAGCCTTGGCCCCGGGTTTCCAGAAACTTGTGCAAACCCTTGCTTTAGTTTTCCTGCTCCCTTCCCAAGCAGGATATTTCCCTGTATGCCTATAAAATAACCTGTTAACCAGCCCCTCTGGCCCAGTGTCTGCACTCTGGTTCTATATTATTTTGCTGAAAGTCCTCCTATATAATCATATTTACGATTATGGGTGGAAGGATTCTTGATACCTGGAAGTCCTGGCGGTCCATTCTTCCCCAGTTTCCCCAGATCTCCCTCATCTCCGATCTCACCTTGGTCTCCTGGATTCAAAGGAAAACACCGTATAGAGAAAGTTAAATGCAAACTGCGAGATGATCAGTACCGTCAGCAGGCTGTGTAGAAGTCAGACAGCACGATACTTTGCTGTTTCCAGGTCCAGTCTGCTTTTAAACACGAGACATACTCTTCGTATTTGGTTTTAATATAACATTCAGACAAACCAATATAATTTCAAAAGCTCCGATGCTATAAAAGCATTAATGACACGACATACTTTTCAAAGTTAAAAGCCCAAACGAGGTGCAGCAGAAATATTTCTGGCAGCTCCGCCGATCAAAGAGCTCCTGGCAAAAAAAAACCTTAAGAGGGTTCTGAGTGTCTATTAGAGGAGTAATTTTTCCCCAGTTGTTGATGCAGACGGCAGTTTATATCTTTTTAAGTGCTGGGCTTAGAAATGAAGGATTGTAAGAAACTCCTTCTGTTAGCCTGGAAGAGAGCTTAGGAAAATGGATTATTAGTTTCTGCAGGCCGCATACGTATTTTCAAGTGATTCTGCCTGCATGAGATTCTTTCTTTAGACTACTGAAGTGAAACCAAGCGCAGCGAAATGACTAAATTGCCTCATTTGTGTGATTTGAGGTATTAAATCACATGAGTCGAATGTATTCTGGGAATGATTTCACATTTAGTAAGCGACGGGAGCGATTTGAGTTGGTAAAAAGCTGTAATTTGATGTTCAGTGTCGTCAAATGTTTCTTCAACAAAACTGAAGTGTTTTGATCTGCAGTGTCCCACATTCTCATATCTCAATAAAAAGGAAAATGCCAGTAAATCTATTTAAAATGATGTAGCCAAAGTACCAGTAAAAGCAATAAAAGTGTGTTTGTTGAAAAAAGGTTAAAATAAATAAGGAGACATTTTTGGGGTGTATGAAACGTAGAAAAATGCACATCTGACACCCACTCGAATACGCAGACGTGAGTGAATGTACACTCTGAGTCTGACTCTGCGGTCAGTCGTATCTGGATGAGTCCTGTACAAATAATCAGTTCTCTTTAGGGGCAGCTGTCTAAATACACACTGTCACAATGGGACTTTTTCACCAGTACAGAAAATTCAGTGGGAAGCTGAGTGTTACAGTCGCCCCTTTTCTTTCTCCACACTTCATTTCAAAATTCAGGAACAACTCTTACTAAACAGAGACGTAAGATACAATTTTCTATTTTCAGTAACCGTAAAAATGAAACCGATGGCCTCGAGTTTCTTACTCCTCTTAATCTCAGTTTCTTCGTGTCAACTCCTGTGGAAAACGTGTCTCTGGTTTTGATTTGAGCCAGAACTAAACGCCATGTTTTTTAGTAGTGTAAAAGGAGCTGAAAAAAAAAAAAAGCTTAACTTTGTGTTTTATTAGGTCTGTCTGACTGAATCAGCAGGGGAACGAGCTACTGGATGTCGTAAAATGGAGAACACGCTCAGGGAGGCATTCCCTCCAGAAGACTCTGGGGTAGCAGACAGCGAGCTTGTAAACTACAGGACATCTAATGCTTGGTTGCTTTATCATCAGCTCAGCAAGCCCTGAAACATACTGAAATACACGTTCGGTTAACACTCCTATACGCTGGCGATGAAGCTTAAATAGCTTAGTCTTCAACAGCATGAACAAGACATCGGAAAAGATGGCAGATATGTGCATGCATTATTATAAGAATGCTTATTATTATCCACATGAAAGACATATTTCACAAATTTTCGCTTTAAATTAAACATCTTGCTCCAAGAGAAACATCCATAAATATAAATGTTCCCATCTCAGCTGCTTCCGTGCAGATTTCCAGCAGGTTTTACCATCATGCAGTCGACACAAACACACATGTGTTACCTTTAGCTCCAGGCAGGAGGGTGTTGGTGCAGACTTCTGGAGACGCAGAGATGCAGCCGAAGACGGTCACAAACGCACAGAACATCAATAAACGCAGCATCTCCAGAACATCGCAGGCCGACGAATGAGATCCAAACTTTTTGCTTGAGCAGAAGGCAGGAATCGGTGCTGCGTTAATGAGCAAACACGCTGCTGAGGGGCTCAGGAGAAAGCTGTGCTCTTTATGCAACGCACAGACACGCTCGTGTTTATAGAGTCTTATCAGTTGCTGTCAAAATGTCAAACAACACTTCCCAGACTCCTGCATTCCTCTGCATGTTCTGCTCCTTGGATGTCTACATGTGAAATTCATACCATAATTTAGATAGATGCAAAACTGGGAACTCAAGGAACTTGTAGGGAGAATTCTGAAATGTGTACTTTGAAATATTGTTAAATATGCAGAACATACATTGATTTACTGATACAGCCACAACATGAAAACTACTGACAGCTGAAGTGAATGACGCTGATCATCTATGCTGTTAAGGGTAATCATATCTGAAGACCTCAGTGGAACACATGGACTCAGAGGCACAGTCTGAAGGCTTTACTGTGAAGAGTCTTGCTTGTGAGAGTGAATCCAGCAAAGGAGAGGCTCTAGTAGATGAGTTTTTTCTGACACTGTGGTTAACAGGCTGGAGCTTTGGCTGTGGAGAGGAGATGACTAGAGGTGACTAAAACCTGAGACACAATGAAGTCAGATTTAGACTCAGAGCAAAACCGAACACTGGGAAGCAAAAGTACAAGCAGGGTTCAGCTGGCAGCGAAAGCACGAGAGCAAGCACAACAATCCATGTCAACCAAGGAACAGGGAAAACGATAATAACACTATGACAAATGCAATGTTCTGCAGGAATAGATGGGTTCTGGCATTCATGTGGGTCTTGCTTTGCTTGGCCAGCCTCCCACCGAGTACACAAGTGAAGCACCGGGACAAACCACGGAGGCCCGACTGACAAGACCCAAAGGATCCGGGTGCCGACACCTCCAGAGGTCCCACGTCAATGATCCGATGTGTGAATTGTTTTGGTGGTACAAGTGGGATCTTCACAATATCAGTCAGGTGGTTTGAATACCGTGGCTGAGTGATTGTAAGCTCAACTCTTTGCACCAGGGACGCCTTAAGACACAAGAAGCTAACTAGATAATTCCCTAAAAGAACCTCTAGAACGTCTACACAGAGTGACCGTATAACTGACACAACTCCAGAGCTTTACTTTCACCTCAGTGTGCCACACGATAAACAAAACCACAAAACTATGAGAACCATGAACGTTCCATCAGCAGGTATTAAACCAGTAAAAATAAAATAAAGACACACTGCTTTTACACATCATGAACATAATCTACAAGCACCTCTAATAACAGAAGTCGGTTGTAATTTGGTACTGCATTATATCAAAACTTAATTCCAAACATTTATCTAATTTAATTTCTAACCTTTTCATGTCTCTTTTCAAATCAAATAAAGGCAAAAAGCCCAAAATAGTAGTGCTTAAATCAAGGCTGACAGCTTTAGAAGAAAAAAAAAAAGATTCAAATTGTTCAAAACTTTGTCCATAAATATATGATTTATTGATATTGCTCCGAACAGTTCCGTTTCTATACTTTCTTTAATCTGCAAAAAGTTGCTCTTCAGTTTTTACAGATTTATTCCAAGTGCTGGTATCATTTGTTGTCTTGTCATAGCTGGTGGAAGAGTTTTGGTTTGGATTTGGTTCCATGATTGGTTTTGAATGTGAATGTGGTCACCGACCACACGGAACGAAAGCTATTAGCTGAAATTTTTTATTCTTGGAGAGGAAATCTAGAAATTAGAGAAACAGATGTGACCCACCTTCACATTACTTAATGATTCATCAATGAAACAAAAGCTCTGATCGACGCTACGACTCCAGCGTTAACACATGCTTTACATTTATCCAAGGGGAATTTGTTTAACTGGACCACAGTCCTGCCTCCCTTTGGAAGCTGGTAGTACAGTTCAGTTCACTGAATACTCGGTGATGTACTGGATTTAAAAAATGAATCTAACGCAAAATATTTAAACTTTACGGAGAGTGTGCAGTGTGTAATATTAAACACACAGGCCAGAGGAGATCAGGGTGTTTCCTTATCAACAGAAAGGGAGTAGTACCTCTGGATCTGCAGTTTTTTTCCCTCCATCTCTCCTCCTCTTTTATTCTTCTTCCCACCCTTCAGACCACAAAACATTTGCTAGGAGAGGCTCATACATGCATGATGGCGTGCACACACACAAACAGGACACGCAGACATCTGTATATTATGTACATACACTTACTAACAAGAGTACGTGGCCGCAAATACACAAGACTCGCAAAGCTTGTGCGCACCAGGATGAAAACGTTGCGTGCACACAGATTCTTGCATAATTGCATCCTCTGGTTTGTCACTATGTGATGAAAACATACAGGGATTAGAGGGTTTGGAGGCCTCAGAGGGACAGAAAGGGAGGCGGAGTGACAGAAGAATGGAAAGAGACAAGACGAGAGAATGTGCATTAATGAGAAGAAAGGACACAAAGACAGGAGACAGAGTGAGGCACAAAGAGATTTAACTAATAAGGAATGCAGCCAGAGCGACATATCTTGGCACAAATAAGGGGTTGAGTTTTTCAAGAGTTACGCTTCCTGGGACGTCTGAAGTGCTCCATGAGAAAGACAAGTCATCAGGGGCGTTAATGCACTCAGTTCTTTGAAGAGCAGGGAGTGGTCGACGTTATCAAGACACTATTAATTAAAAAAAACACAAAGATTTATCTTAATCAATCTCTTGTTCCCTGGAGGCCTGCGTTGGCTGACCTTTTCTTATGTCAAGTGTATTCACAAAATAAAAAATCTTTCAAATACATCCAGGGCTGGCTGGGAAAATGACGCAAACGCGTTCTTCTTAAAGTCAAGTTACGACTTATTTCAACTGGTGCAGAAGCTTCACTCTTCAAAGAAAATAACGCAGCGCTTCTGGACACGTCACAGTCATTAATCAGTCCTTGTTGCTGATTGTGATGTTTGTTTCTTTTGGATTATCTTCGTAAAGTAGTTTCAACCACACAGACACGCTTGAAAATATTTCAGGCCTCAGACGCTCGATATCAGCGACAGGGTCTGACAACAGTTTCTTTTGGCTGCTGCCACTGTTTGCTCCGAGCCTCGAACTCATTATATTGTTTCTGCCGAGGAATTTGTTGCTGTATATTTTGGTACAAGAGCTCGGTGGCTCAGTTCGGTGCTGCTGACAATAACTGCTCAGCGAGAGTTTAGAGAGACAACCGAGGCCAGCAGAAGAGTTTCATATGTGGTGACAGTGACAAGCACAGACATTAGCACTAATATGGGCTTATTTACTGGTTGACTGATGGTTAGTAGTGTGAAAAATGGAAGAATGGCTGATGGTCTGATGGAATTTGAGCAACGAGTTTTGATATTCACAGCTGTCATGAGTTAATAAAACATAGACACAGCTATCAGGGGGGACTGCAGAGGATACGATCCACTGAATATTTGCATTTGTCCAATTAAAACATGAAAGAATAATAATACATAAGTCTTTGTAATGTCTTGAACCCACAATGTTAAGCACCCTGAGATGACTTGAGTTAAAATTGTGCCATGGTGTTATATGATTGAATAAAAAAACAATATAAACATTTAATGTGCTGGAATTTGGCTTTTTTCTTTGCTTGTGACGTTTCTACATTAAATGAATCCCACATTGGTGCATAAAACTTCCAGAATTTGGGACTAAAGATTTTACTGTGGAAGGATACCAAGACAAAATCTTTTAATAAAATGCAGTAACCCATTCCTCAGCTGTGGGGCATCATTACCTTTTTACATCCACCTGAATCAAAGTTCAATTTTCACTTTTCCCTTCTATCTTTGTTTTGATCTCCGTCATGCCTTTATAGACATTCCAAGCTGTTTAGATGCTAAATGATCCATTATGTTCACCAGATGGTGGCTAGCTTTGTCTGTCTGCCGTCTGAGTGCTGGACAGGTACTGTGCAGTGTGGATGTATCTTAGCCATTTTACTGAAACCAGCTGCTCACCTCGGTCAAGATCGATGCTGATGAGATTGAAAGCGCAAACAGTGAGGCTGCAGGCTGGAAAACCGAATCGCTAAAATGTTCCACGGGGTTCGTCTTCTTTTCTGCGTGTGTGCACCTTCAGTTATTTATAATCCTTTCAGTTTCTGCGGAGTTTCTGTGGTACACTGTGTTGGTCAATGTCTGGGAAAGCGTAGGATTCCTATGAAAGTGTGTGTGTTTTTTGAACATGACACACACACACATGTTCGCGCACATAGGAACAGCCCTTCTATCCTGAAGGCTAATTGTTTACATGTGGTTTAGATTGCGTCCTCGTGATTCACACTCCTGGATTGAGGCTTGACTCCATCGTGGTAACCACACCACAAAACAACCCTGTTTTCTCCGCAGCTCGCAATCCAGGCTGGAAGTAACCGTTCACATTTTAAAACGGCAGCAAACTGCCCACATGTGTGTCAATGACAAATCCGTCAACAGCAGCTTCAGCATATAAAACATTTACCTAACCTCTGCTCTGAGCCACATTAATTTACTATAGAGCATGAGTGTCATAATTGGCCTGTGTTTCCTGGTATTTACTGCAGAGTCGCTCACAGGCAAAACCCTTTTCTCGGTAAAGCAGCAGACACACAACAAAGAGCAGCGACGACCAGATCCATCCCCTGTGTGACATATCTCTCTGTTTTTATGATTTCACTTGTGAGTCAGTGGATTGTCAACATCACAGAAGAATCCTCACCGGGAATCAATTAAAGTCAGTTTGCTCCAGTGTTTCCCAAGCAGTCAGCCATGAGCTATGGTGGTCTCGGTAATCAGTAGTGCTGTCACTGAGAAACCTCAAATCTTGCACTCGATATTAGCACTGACAAGTATATTGACTTGCAAAATGCTTAGATGGAACTGAAAAATAAATTGTGGGTAACAGCAGTTTGAAGTCCCTTCGCTGGGGTTTTCTTGATTCATTAAATGCTAATTTATAGTATTTTACTAGCAAGTGGAGGTCCTGTGCATGTCAACAAAATAGCTGTTTATTACGTTACCGTTTATCTTAGAGTTCAAATAAAGACCCTGCTGTA